CAGGGATGAAACCCAACACTCTGTATTGCTTAGTTTGAACCCCAAGCTCCTTTTGGGAGAAGACTGAGGCAAAGAAGGTTTTGAGCAACTCTGCCTTTTCCCTATCCCGTATTAGCATTTCACCACCCTCTCCACGCAGAGGCCCTGTTGTTGTTGTTGTTGTTGTTGTTTCAATGTTCAGATGCCTCTTTAGCAATGAGATAGAGGAGCGAGGCTGCACTTTCCTGGCGCCTATGCATTGCATAAGCTTGCACAAGGGGGATAAAGCAAGCATGGGGAGGCTGAAGCCAGTCAAAACCCCACCGGGCCTCAGGAGCATCATTTTTGGGGACGGGACCGACATTCTGCCATGCACTTCCCTCCTGTTGCCATGACGCCAGTAATATTATTAGTTCCTGCTAACGTTAGACTTAATTTTGGGGAGGAGGGGAGCTCCCTCGGAACAGCGGAGTCTCCCGCATAGGGTTTCGTTACGCCCACTGGTCTGTGGATGAAGCCAATGCTGAAGCAGTAGAGCCTCATCAGACACTCTCATAACACTCTTCTCCACTTCGAGTCCCATTATTTTAAATATCATGCTTTCAATGCCAAATTTAGAAAGTTTATTGTGTTTTAACATGCGTCTCGTGCATTTTAATCATGTTTTAATCTAGGCTTTTATGGTTGCATGATAACTATGTTTTAATATGTGATTTTATAGATGTATTTAGCGTATATTCTGGCGTATAAGACTACTTTTTAACCCCAGAAAATCTTCTCAAAAGCCAGGGGTCAAATCTGATGCTTTTTAAATTTGTATTTGTTGTGCATTGGAAGAGGGATCGTCTTATACGGAGAGTATATCCCAAACTCTATATTTTAACTGGAAAAGTTGGGGGTCGTCTTATACGCCCAGTTATCTTATATGCCGGAATATATGGGGATATACATTATGCCCCACCTCAAGCTGAAAAGAAGGAAAGGTAATCAATGCATTACTACTACTACTACTACTATTTATTTATTTATTTAGCAATTTTGTATACCGGTCTTCTATCGGGGGACTCGGGCCGGTTTCCAACAATAAAATCACAAAACAATCCTTAAAAACATCATATAACATATTCAATTAAAACGTTATAATAGCAAAATGCAATCACATAATAACAATGGTCAGTCGTCATAGTGAATTCGTTGTCCATCATTCATCGTCATCTATCCGATCACAGAAATATTGATTCACTCGTCGAAAGCCAAACCCCATAGCCAGGTTTTCACCCGTTTTCTGAACGACAGAATGGAGGGGGCAGTTCTGATCTCCAGTGGGAGAGAGTTCCAGAGTCGAGGGGCCACCACCGAGAAGGCCCTGTCCCTCGTCCCCACCAGACGCGCCTGAGAGGCCAGTGGGACCGAGAGCAGGGCCCCTCCAGACGATCTTAACAACCTAGATGGTTCATAGGGGAGAATACGTTCGGACAGGTAAACTGGGCCGGAGTCGTTTAGGGCTTTATAGGTTAACACCAGCACTTTGAATTGTGCTCGGAAGCTAGTTGGCAGCCAGTGGAGCTGGCGCAATAGAGGAGTAGTATGCTCCCTGTACCCTGCTCGTGTTAGCATTCTGGCTGCCGCAGTTGGAGCTTCCGGGCAGTCTTCATAGGCAACCCCACTACTAGCTTGGGTGCCCAGCGTTGCCCGGATTATTTCAAAAAGTAGGTTTTTAATTGTAAAAAACGCACAAGGCTGTGGGTGAATTACAACTCACATCATACCAGGTTAACTCCATCAGCTCTTAAGGTTTTTTATGTTGGGCACGTTTGCTCTAGATGCCTCATCGGTGGGGTTCAATGTGTTCTCTGGCTGTAGGGTAAACTACAACTCCCGCTATGGTTGCAGATCCCAAAATCTCACAATGTTCAAGCCCTATGTCACTTTTATATAAAATGATAAAAATTGAGGTTTGCTTTTTGGATTTGTTTTTATATATATATATATATATATATATACACACACACACACACACACACACACACACACACACACATACATACACACACTAGCTTGAGACACGGTGTTGCCCGGGTTATTTGAAAACGTCATTTTAAAAAATTGTACTAAAAGGAATAAGGTTGTGGGCGAACTACAACTCCCATCATGCCAGGTTAACCCCGAGAAACTCCATCAATACTTAAAGTTTGTTACTCCAGGCAAATTTGCTTTGGATGCATCATCAGTGAGGTTCAGTGTGGTCTCTAGCTGTAGGGTGAACTACGACTCCCACTATGGTGAGTCAGTCCTCTCAAACCCCTCCAGTAGGTTGAGTTAGTCATGGGGGTTCTATATGCCCAGTTTGGTCCAGGTCCTTCATCGGTGGAGGTCACCATTTCTCTGGTTGTAGATGAACTGCAATTCCCAGAAATGAAGGTCAATTTCCCCCAAACCATCCCACTAATCAAATTTCAGCATATGAGGTCTGTGTGCCAAATTTTGTCCAGATCCATATGTGTTTGGGTTCACAGTGCTGTCTTGATGTAGGTGAACTACAACTCCACTGAATCAAGGTGAATTTTCCCCAAAGACCTCCAGTATTGTTTGTTGTGTGCTGGCGGTGGGTCCTTAGGTGACTGTGGAGCCCTATTCTTGATCCGCATGTTCTCCTGCAGTGAGGACATTGGTTTCCAGGTGGAAGGCAGTCCCGGTCGGGGTTGGCTTGATGCGCCTTCCTCTTGGCACGTTTCTCTCTTGCGCCCTCCATTTGTGACTCTTCAAATTCTACAGCACTGCTGGTCACAGCTGACCTCTAGCTGGAGCGCTCAAGGGCCAGGGCTTCCCAGTTCTCAGTGTCTATGCCAGAGTTTTAAAGGTTGGCTTTGAGCCTATCTTTAAATCTCTTTTCCTGCCCACCAACATCCTGTTTTCCGTTCTTGAGTTGGGAGTAGAGCAACTGATTTGGGAGACGGTGGTCAGGCATCCCGACAATGTGGCCGGTCCAGTGGAGTTGATGGCGGAGGACCATCGCTTCAATGCTGGTGGTCTTTGCTTCTTCCAGCACGCTGACGTTTGTCCGTTTGTCTACCCAAGAGGTTTGCAGGATTTTCCGGAGGCAGCGCTGATGGAATCGTTCCAGGAGTTGCATGTGACGTCTGTAGACAGTCCATGTTTCACAGGCATATAGCAGGGTTGGGAGGACAAAGGCTTTATAACAAGCACCTCGGTATCCCTACAAATGTCCCAGTCCTCAAACACTCTCTGCTTCATTTGGAACAATGCTGCACTCACAGAGCTCAGGCGGTGTTGTATTTCGGTGTCGATGCTGCAAAGGTGTTTAGAGTGGCTTGTGGGTCTTCTTCTGCCATTCTGTTCATTCTGGACACAAGGTGGCAGGAAAGGTATAACAATTGCATATACAATAACTCCACTTGGGCTGAAAAATCCACGAATTTGCATGAATTACAATTGAGTTTTTACTGGGACCAACAGATAAGGCTATTTTTCTTTCTTTTTAATTATTACAAGAAAACTGTCCCTTTTATCATTAACAGTCCTACTAATTTTGAGAGTCGAGCTAGTTGTTGGAGATCATGTCGTAAATCTTCCAGATTTTTGGCAAAAAGGACGCAATCGTCTGAGAATGTCAAGCATTATCATTAGCAAATATCACAAGAGCGACAATGGTGCAATGGGTTAAACCCTTATGCCAGCAGAACTGCTGACCTGAAGGTCACGAGTTTGAATCCGCAAGACAGGGTGAGCTCCCATCTGTCAGCCCCAGTTTCCCATGCGGGGCCATGAGAGAAGCCTCCCACAGGATGGTAACACATCTGGGCCTCAACTGGGCAACGTCTCTGCAGATGGCCAAATATCACAGAATTTATTAGCAAATATTGTTAAGCACTAAGGCTCTCCATGGACAGTTCCTGGGGAAAATTGAGAGCCAAATTGACAAAGAAAAAACATGGCTGTGGCACACAAATGGAACTTTGAAAAAGGAGACGGAGAGTCTGATTCTGGCAGCCCAAGAACAAGCCATTAGAATCAATGCCATCAAAGCCAGAACTGAAAAGTCGACGACAGATCCCAAGTGTAGACTCTGCAAGGAAGCAGATGAAACTATAGATTGCATCCTCAGCTGTTGCAAGAAGATCGTGCAGACAGATTACAAGCAGAGGCATAACACCGTTGCTCAGATGATTAATTGGAACTTGTGCCACAAATATCATCTGCCTGCAACAAAGAACTGGTGGGATCACAAGCCTAAAAAAAGTTATAGAAAATGAACATGTCAAACTGCTCTGGGACTTCCAAATTCAGACAGACAGAGTTTTGGAGCACAATACTCCTGACCTCAGTGTTGCGATCCCAGGTGACAGCAGGATTGAAGAGAAACAACTGGAAAAGCTGACATCATATGAGGATTTAAAGATCTAACTGCAAAGACTCTGGCACAAGCCAGTAGAGGTGGTCCCAGTAGTGATCGGCACACTGGGTGCAGTGCCTAAAGACCTTGGCTTGCACTTAAACACAATTAGCACTGACAAAATTACCATCTGCTAGCTGCAGAAGGCCACCTTACTGGGATCTGCACGCATTATTCACCGATACATCCCATAGTCCTAGACACTTGGGAAGTGTCCAATGTGTGATCCAATACAATAGCCATCAGAGTGATCTTGTCTGCTGTGGACTCATCTTGTTGTGTTTCAAATAATAATAATAATAATAATAATAATATACATTATTTATAATCCGCCCTATCTCCCTGAAGGGACTCAGGGCAGATTATGGTACACATAGATGGCAAACATTAAATGCTGTTATACAATTAGCAAAGATAGTACATTAACTGTAGCTGGCGGTTTAACCCAAAGCCCGTCCCAATAACATAGATTTCAATTATTCCAAACTGTCAGCTAGGGGCAGTTTGTGTTACTGTCTCCCCTCTGAAGTAGATCATTAGCCATACTCCATTGTCCCAAATCCACTGCTAAGTTCATTGGAGTTCCTTCTCGTTCTTTCCCCTTCAGACAAGCAACATGAAGTGGAAATCCCGCCTGTGGTCCCTAAGGAGAAAGACAAGAAGAGGCGCCCCATGTCTCAGATCAGTGGTGTGAAGAAGCTCACACACAGCTCCAGCTTCAACTTGACAGCTGTCCCTCGCTTCGGGGTCCTGACAGAGCAGGAGGGGCCGCTGGCCAAGGTGGGATGACCCTAGCCTTGGAGAAACCCCACAAAGCGTTATTGGTAGGGCTATTCATCTGTATGCACAATCCGAGGGAAAGATCTGACTAGAAAACACGGAGACAAAAGGGAAGGAAAAGAGAAGCTGGCCAAACAGAAAAGTATTTTAACCACTTCGTCACATTGAATGAGGAAAGCATGGGTGATTATCCTTTTTGGCATAGAGAATCGCCCCTCTTATATCGCCAGCAGTCCTGTTATCACACTCACAACCAAGCACGGAAACCTTCAAAGGACTGCTGACGGTTTGGCAATGAAACAGGACAGGAAACTGATAGTTTCCATCCCACCTGTTTTTCCCATTGTAAAGATGGGAGTAAAGTGCAATAAGAGGTAGGAGCTCTCAACAGGATTGCTTCCCCATGTTCAGAGCTCCCTCCTTTTGGGACATTTCTGCCTCTTTTCAATCCCGGAACATGTGATTGAGCTCCATGCCTCTCCATGCTAGAGGCTGAAATTGTCCTACGACTGGGAAATTTCTCAATCAGTGGACATTAGGCCCGCCAATGGCTCAGCCAGGTCCTGGTAGTGGACACCATGTTCTCAAAATGATCCAATCCAAAGGCAATGTCTATAGTGAGTCATCCCCTCAAACCCCTCCAGTAGGTTGAGTTATTCATGGGGGTTCAGTGTGCCAAGTTTGGTCCAGGTCCATCATTGGTGGAGGTCACTGGTTGTGGTTGTGGGTGAACTACAACTCCCAGAAAAGAAGGTCAGTTCCCCTCAAACCCCTCCAGTTATCAAATTCCGGCATATCAGGTATGTGTTCCAAGTTCGGTCCAGATCCAACAATGTTTGGCTTCACGGTGCTCTCTGGATGACAGTGAACTACAACTCCCCCAAATCAAGGTGAATTTTCCCCTAAGACCTCCAGTATATATTTTTTTTGTTGGTCATGAGGGCTTTGTGTGCCAAGTTTGATCCAGGTCCATCATTGGTGGAATTCTGAGTGCTCTTTCTTTGCAGGTGAATTATATATTCCACTACCTACAACTCCTATAAATCATTGTGAATTTTCCCCAAATTTCTCTAGTATGTTCAGTTGCTGATCAATTCCTCTGTTTGCTGTGTGCCATAGAAAAGAATACGAAAGGGTTGAGGGAGAGGCAGTGGGCGGGGTCATGCAAATTCCACACCAATGGTGAGAGTAAGAAACTCTGGGATGTCTGTGGTGGAGGAAACACATAAAATGTTCCCTGTATGAAAGCCTTCACTTGGATTGTGAACAGTATGGTTTCTGTGGAGAACATTGACAGGGTGTTCATGTTCATGGTGCTCGCTATAACCTGAAATGTCATTGGAGGGAGGGCCTTTGGTGTCTCCTGGGTAGTGGAATCTATAGCTGTTTGAGGAGACAGGAGCTTATATGTGTAAGTGGATACTCCAGCCACACACACATACATATTTTCACTTTAATTATGTGTATAGATAGATAGATAGATAGATAGATAGATAGATAGATAGACTCCCAGAAAGGTAGGTAGGTAGGTAGGTAGATAGATAGATAGATAGATAGATAGATAGATAGAGAGACTCCCAGAAAGGTAGGTAGGTAGGTAGGTAGGTAGGTAGGTAGGTAGGTAGGTAGGTAGATAGATAGATAGATAGATAGATAGATAGATAGATAGATTCCACTTGCTTGACTCCCATCAGATCTTCTGAAGATATCAGTAGCCACAGATGCAGGAGAACCGTTAGGAGAAAATGCTGCTAGAACATATTGGCCAGACAGCTCAGCAAGCACACAATAATCCAGTGTTTTCATATTGTTCGGGCAATGAGTTTGGCAACAAGTTCTCAATGGAAACACTTTCCTGCCTTTCTGCCTTTCCATGCTAGGAACTCGAGAATGTGAACCGGTGGGGCCTGGACGTCTTCAAGATCTCTGAATACTCGGGCCACAGGCCCCTGACCGTCATCTTGTACAGGATCTTCCAGGTGAGCTTGTTGTTCTTGGCGCGAAATGTCTAGCTTTGGGTCCCATTTGAGAAATTGCTCCTGATTTGTTCTCAATAGGGGTTACAGTAGCCTAATGAACTCCTGTTCCATTAAACATTTCCATTTTTTTCTGCACAAAAATGGTGGGATGGGAAAGTCAGGGAAAACAAAAAAAAGGAATAATGGGGAGGGCGTAATGAATGTATTGCTAGTGAGTTAAGTCTTTACTAATATGAGGGTAATCTGGAAAGTAAGGTTACAAGTCACATAGCTCTTGCAGGGAATTTTCTCGGGGGAAATTGGTCTCACTGCCATGTAGCAGGAAGCAGCAGAAGTGAACGAGCAGTGCCAGTTGTCAGTAGCTCATCGACTGGCGCAGTGAAGGTTAGAAATGGGCATCCTCCTTCCATTTCCCACCAATTGCGAATTTCACAGTGTAATGAACACTGCTGCGATTCATCATGAAATCGTTTCAGTTTATGGAGAGTACGTCATGTCAAGACAGCATTTGACAAAATGGGTACGGAATATATTGTGAGGCTATGAAGAAACTTCACAGAGCCATCCAAAACAAACGTTGTGGGATGCTGACAGCAGGAGTCTCCTTCATGACAATGCACGTCCGCATGCCACTCATGCAACACAAGAGTGTTTGACTTCATTTGGTTGGGATGTTTGAACCACCCCCACCCACAGCCCCAATCTCGCACCCTGTGACTCTCATCTGTTCACTAAATTGAAGGAACGCCTGGGTGGAAAATACTTTTCCACTGATGACGAGGTTATTTATTTATTTATTTGTCATATCAGGGCAACCAGTCAATTATATTACATGTCTAACAGAACAAAGCAAACAAACAGACAAAATACAAAATTTGTGAGTTTGGTAGTTGGTTAAATGTCCTTTGACCAGTATCTGGCCACTTGGAGTGCTTCTGGTGTTGCCGCAAGAAGGTCCTCCATTGTACATGTGGCAGGGCTCAGGTTGCATTGCAGCAGGTGGTCAGTGGTTTGCTCCTCTCCACACTCGCATGTCGAGGATTCCACTTTGTAGCCCCATTTCTTGAGGTTGGCTCTGCATCTTGTGGTGCCAGAGCGCAGTCTGTTCAGCGCCTTCCAAGTTGCCCAGTTTTCTGTGTGCCCAGGGGGGAGTCTCTCATTTGGTATCAGCCATTGGTTGAGGTTCTGGGTTTGAGCCTGCCACTTTTGGACTCTCGCTTGCTGAGGTGTTCCAGCGAGTGTCTCTGTAGATCTTAGAAAACTATTTCTAGATTTAAGTCGTTGATGTGCTGGCTGATACCCAAACAGGAGATGAGCTGGAGATGTCTCTGCCTTGGTCCTTTCACTATTGGCTGCTACTTCCTGGCAGATGTCAGGTGGTGCAATACCGGCTAAGCAGTGTAATTTCTCCAGTGGTGTAGGGCGCAGACACCCCGTGATAATGCGGCATGTCTCATTAAGAGCCACATCCACTGTTTTAGTGTGGTGAGATGTGTTCCACACTGGGCATGCATACTCAGCAGCAGAGTAGCACAGCGCAAGGGCAGATGTCTTCACTGTATCTGGTTGTGATCCCCAGGTTGTGCCAGTCAGCTTTCGTATGATATTGTTTCTAGCACCCACTTTTTGCTTGATGTTCAGGCAGTGCTTTTTGTAGGTAAGAGCACGGTCCAGAGTGACTCCCAGGTATTTGGGTGCGCTGCAATGCTCCAGTGGGATTCCTTCCCAGGTGATCTTCAGAGCTCGGGATGCTTCTCTGTTCTTGAGATGAAAGGCACATGTCTGTGTTTTAGATGGGTTAGGGATCAGCTGGTTTTCCCTGTAATAAGCAGTAAGAGCACCTAGAGCTTCGGAGAGCTTCTGTTCTACCATCTCAAAGCTCCCTGCTTGGGCAGTGATGGCACGATTGTCAGCATAGATGAAACTCTCTGTCCCTTCTGGCAGTGGCTGGTCATTTGTGTAAATGTTAAACATTGATGGAGCAAGCACGCTCCTCTGAAGCAGGCAGTTCTTCTGTTTCCGCCATCTGCTTCTCTGGCTCTGGAACTTGACAAAAAAGCTCCTGTTTTGTAACAGATTTCCTATGAAGTGGGTGAGGTGGTAATCCTTTGTGATATTATGTTTTTCTCCGGAGAAGGTGATGATTTACAGTGTCATAAGCTGCTGAGAGGTCTATGAAGAAAGCCTTAAAAATAAGGACTAATCAAGTGCCAAAACAAAAAAGGTTCCTTTTAATTCAGAACCAGCTCTTTTAATCCCCTTTGATGTTGTCCATCATTTTGAGTAGTCTATTTGTATCAAATGGGGAAAGAAGCAGATGATGCAATAGAAGGAAATGTGGCACAGTATAGGCAAAGACGTAGTGCAAGAGTAGGTTGATGTAGTTTTTTTCGGGCTATATAGCCATGTTCTAGAGGCATTCTCTCCTGACGTTTCACCTGCATCTATGGCAAGCATCCTCAGAGGTAGTACCTCTGAGGATGCTTGCCATAGATGCAGGAGAAACGTCAGGAGAGAATGCATCTAGAACATGGCCATATAGCCCAAAAAAACCTACAACAACCCAGTGATTCCGGCCATGAAAGCCTTCGACAATACAGTGCAAGAATACCTGGCTACTCAAAATAAACTCAAATCTCTTAAGGCCAGATAATGAAGCAGAGGAAATACAGGCTTCTAAAACACATTTAGTTTAAAACAGAGGATGTTTTTAGAAAAGCCTTGGATATTTGCCCCCCACTTTGCAGGAGAGAGACCTGTTGAAGACCTTCCAGATTCCGGTGGACGTCTTCATCACCTTCGTGATGACGCTGGAGGACCACTACCACTCAGACGTGTCCTACCACAACAACATCCATGCGGCTGACGTGGCTCAGTCCACACACGTCCTGCTCTCCATGCCAGCTCTGGAGGTGGGATAATGTCCAGCATGTTTGGGGGCGGGGGGAGAGAGGGGTCTTGATGAATGGTGCTTCTCCCCAATGGTTCATCTTCTTCATCCTGGAAAGAAGTGACTAGTGGAATCCCATAAACAGGGTTTGGTCCTGGACCCAGTTCTATTTTACACCTTTATTAATGACTTGGATGAAGGTTTAGAGCAGCATTGGGACTCCTAGGGGAATAGTGAGTTGGATGTCAGAGGGGTCGCCAAAGACCATCAGAAAACACAGTATTTTTGTTGGTCATGGGGGTTCTGTGTGCAAAATTTGGCCCAATTTATCGTTGGTGGGGTTCAGAATGCTCTTTGATTGTAGGTGAACTATAAATCCCAGCAACTACAACTCCCAAATGTCAAGGTCTATTTTCTCCAAACTCTGCCAGTGATCACATTTAGGCATATTGAGGATTCGTGCCAAGTTTGGTCCAAATCCATCATTATTTGAGTCCACAGTGCTCTCTGGATGTAGGTGAACAACAACTCCAAAACTCAAGGTCAATGCCCACCAAACTCTTCCATTATTTTCTGTTGGTCATGGGAGTTCTGTGTTCCAAGTTTGGTTCAATTCCATCACTGGTGGAGTTCAGAATGCTCTTTGATTGTAGGAGAACAATAAATCCCAGCAACAGCAACTCCCAAATGACAAAATAAATCCCCCCCCCCCCCCATCCCCTCCAGTATTCAAATTTGGGTATATGGGGTATTTGTGCCAAATTTGGTCCAGTGAATGAAAATACATCCTGCATATCAGAGATTTACATTATGATTAATAACAGTAGCAAGATTACAGTTACGAAGACTCTGGGATGTTGCCTTCTGAGAGCTGCGCTCTCACTCGTATATTTCTTGTTCCCCAAGTGCCCTGAGTATATGCACTATGCTGGGCCTCTCCATGAAGCAAATTATTTTAAGAATTTGACTGTGGCCAAATATCACACTATATTCTCCAAGGCAAGGTGCAATGTGTTCCCATCCAAAGTGCTTCGAGGTAGATTTGCAGAAGGGAGTCCCGTCTGCAACACATAAGACAACTTCCTGTATTAGACTCAGGCTAAAGCTTGCCTTGTATATGTTTGCAGTGTTCTTACCCTTGTTCATATACATCTTGCATTGCAAGTCCTCCTGTCTTTAATTAGTCCTATCAGTTTATTAATTTGTTTGCAGGTTGTAGTAGATCAGCCTGAGGCTGATGGGTTCAATGATGATTTAGAGAGGATTGTGGGATTTCCTGTGGGATTTCCTGGAGCTCAAAGTGATGCAGGTATTCAAGGTCAGTCAGAGGAGCCAGAAACTGCAACATTAGATAAGGAGTCAGGTGAAGGGTTAAGTGAAGAGAGAAAGCACCTGGAGCTATGGAGATTAACAAAAGTTTTAATTTACAGAGCAGAGCAGAAAACAGGCTCCGTATATCAGAGAGATTATGTGGAAAGGTGATGGACAAAATTCATGGGAAATGGAATGATTTCATAGGGTGCCTATTAATTAGTAAGTTGTTTACCTTTAATTTAGTTCAGGCAACGTAGCATTCAAGTGAGAAGCTAGGCCTGAATTATCTGGTTCTTGTTTCAAGTCTAGCCTTGGTTCTGGATTTAAGTAGTTTTCTATGTTCTTGTTTTTGTATTCCTGCTCAAGTTTTACTAAGTATCCCTTTTACTTGTGGATTTATGCTATATTTGTAATATAATCTTGAAATTAGGTTCTTGTGGGTTTTTTCGGCCTATAGAGCCATGTTCTAGAGGCATTTCTCCTGACGTTTCGCCTGCATCTATGGCAAGCATCCTCAGAGGTAGTGAGGATGCTTGCCATAGATGCAGGCGAAACGTCAGGAGAAATGCCTCTAGAACATGGCTCTATAGCCCAAAAAAACCCACAAGAACCTAGTGATTCCAGCCATGAAAGCCTTCGACAATACATTGATCTTGAAATTGTGCTTTGCCTCGTAGCATAACTCCCGCGACATTTTGCACCAAAAGCGATGCATGTTGTTGTCGCTGCTCAGCCTCCCTCTGTAGCCCTTCTGTTGATCACCTTCCTTCCCCACAGGCCGTCTTCACCGACCTGGAGGTCCTGGCAGCCATCTTTGCTGCCGCCATCCACGATGTCGATCACCCAGGCGTCTCCAACCAATTCCTGATCAATACCAGTGAGTAGGACATATCCATTAATAATAAGCAGAGGAAGGCAATCTCAGGTCAAATCTTGCCTCAGCCTGGACCTCTGCTGGAACCAGGAAATGTGTTATAAGTTGTACAAAGAAGAGCTGGCCCCATTACTGCTCTCTGCAATGAATTATGTTCTGCCAAAAGGGTAGATTTTGGATTTGTGGGCAGAGGCCATTCTAGTTCTTATACCTAAACAGGATAGAGATATGGAACAAGAATTACAGACCAATTTCGTTAGTAAATTACAAACTATTTGCAGAAATTTTAGCAAACAGATCGGGGGGAAAATTACACAGAGATCAAGTTGGTTTTTTTCCAGGCAGAGAGTTGTCAGAACTTGAGGACAGTGTTAAATATATAAGAGGTGGCAGGACAAGACCCCAATAGAGATATTGCATGACTGTTTTTAGATGCAGAGAAAGCCTTTGATAATGTCTGCTGGAAATTTATGGAAAGGGTATTAGGGCATTATGTGGTTGGTGAGCCATTTAAGAAGGCTGTAGGTGCTATTGACTCAAAACAAAGAGCTGAATTAAGAATAAACAGTCAATATGAAGGTAGAAAACGATCAAGTTGACTTGACAGAAGAGATGGGAAGGGGAAAAGGAATGAGCAGAATGCGGAGGAAATTGTTTGGGGAAGAAAAGGGAAAACAAAAGGATGTTTATAGAACAGAATAGCCTAAAGCTTTCAAAGCAGAGTTTCTGGTCACTGGAATATCACACGTTCAAAACCCTGACGTGTTTTCCTTTCCAGACTCCGAATTGGCACTGATGTATAACGACGTCTCGGTGCTGGAAAACCACCACCTAGCCGTGGGATTCAAGCTCTTGCAAGAAGAAAACTGCGACATCTTTCAGAACCTCACCAGAAAGGAACGGCAAATGCTCCGGAAGGTGGTCATCGACATGGTGAGGAGCAGGGGATCTAGATTCTGAATGAAAACAGTGGTATTTTGGTTGCTTCTTCCAAGGATAAGAGATTGGCATGTATTGTTCAGTCTATATTTGTATATTTTGAATTGTATGCTAATGTTTTTATGTTAAGCCACTTTGAGTCTCCTTTGGGAGAGATAAAGCAGGGTATAAATAAATATAAATATAATAATGATGATGATAATTTCTAACCACTACCAATACTACCCTACTCCTAAAGGCCTACCGCAAATAACAAAATGTAAATTACAAAAAAATGAAACAAACAAGGACAGATATCTACACAAAATGAAAATACTACCAAACAAACCTCTCATTCACTGTATGCTAATTTCTCTCTTTCGTTAATCTGTCCCCTTTATTATAAAATTCTCTTTTACTAACATTTTACTAAAACCTACAATGAACAAATGGCCTTCCTCATTATTTAATAAGTTTAAAAAATTCCAAACTTGCATGTAGTTGGATAAACATTTCTCCTTCATCAGCCTAGTTAATTTGTCCATCTCAACGGCTGATGAAGAGCCATGAATCCATTGAGATGGGCAAATGATTTTGCCTTCCAAACTCTAGGCCTGCCATCCTCCTGCTTTTCTTTTTCCCTCTGTATCTCCATCTTGTCATGACAGTCTCGTCCCCATTGACCTCGAGTTCTGTCAAGGGATCTCGACATCCTCCAGAATTGTTTCAGTGGACGTTGATCGTCGCGTTACAATGGAGGACTGAGATATTAGGTCTCAAATCTGCAAATCAATCAAATCCACTGGAGTTAAACCTGCAAAGATCGGGGCGCCAGTTGGAGTTGCCTATCTGTGCCCTGTTGTCTTCATCCTTCCATGCATTCGCCCCACAGGTCCTGGCGACAGACATGTCCAAACACATGAATCTCCTGGCTGACCTGAAGACTATGGTGGAGACCAAGAAGGTGACCAGCTCAGGAGTGCTGCTTTTGGACAACTACTCCGACCGCATCCAGGTCAGGTTTGTGGGGGATAGAGTGAGAGAAATCCATCTGAATAGCCTTAGGATTTGGGGTCGAAATGGGAGGGAAGAGAGGAGAGCTTGGGTACTGGCTGCTGCGGGTCTATAGCCAGTCCCATCTTCCTCAATGAGATTTAGCAGAGCTTTCCAGCAACAATACCCAGCCTTCATTGGCATACACAGCACAGGCATATATGTATGTATGTATGTATGTATGTATATGTGTGTGTGTTTGTGTGTATACACACACACATACAACAAGAAGTCACAGATAAAAAGGAAAGTATGATTAAAAGTTACAGATCTCAAGAATAAAATGTGCAACCATCTCACAAAATAATGCCTCAGAGTTGTTCAGAAGGTATGGAATTTTATAGAACCCTTGACATTGAGAATACTCTGAAAAATGGAATTTCTGTATTATCATATTTAGGGCAAACAAACAAAAAATGGTGGAATGTTTAAACAGAAACCAAGAATAAACACTTTTGGAACGTTTGGAACAAGGTCATCAGCTCAGTGCTTTAACTCACTGCACCACCAGGAGCTCCGTGTGTGTGTGTGTGTGTGTGTGTGTGTGTGTGTATCCCATCCAAAAGAGCTGATGGTAACACATTACATCTTGCAGTCACCAAAGCTCTCCTCTGGGTGGGATGAATCAAAATAAGCAACAATAAGCTGCCATGACTTCACACTGGCATGGGATTAATGATGTGGAAAGGGAACAAGTTGTCTTCGTTGCAAGAGTCGGATTATTGTGGAAGTCAAGATCCAAAAGTCTTCTCTTATAGAATGAATGATGTGGTAGGGGAACAAGTTGCCGTTGCTGCAAGAGTCAGATTATTATGGAGGTTAAGATCCAAAAGTCTTCTCTTATGGAATGAATGCCGTGGTAGGGGAACAAGTTGTCTTTGCTGCAAGAGTTAGATTATTATGGAGGTTAAGATCCAAAAGTCTTCTGTTATGGAATGAATGCTGTGGTAGGGGAACAAGCTGCCTTTATTGCAAGAGTCAGGTTATGATACAAGTCAAGATCCAAAAGTCTGCTCTTGACAGACTTGCAAGCATTAGGAGTGCTTCTAAAGGCAGGCTTTTCTTTGCCTCCCCTCACAGGTCTTGCAGAACATGGTGCATTGTGCCGATCTCAGCAACCCCACCAAGCCACTGGAGCTTTACCAGCAGTGGACGGAGCGCATCATGGTGGAATTCTTCCACCAGGGGGACCGCGAGCGGGAGAAGGGCATGGAGATCAGCCCCATGTGCGACAAACACAATGCCTCCATTGAGAAGTCCCAGGTGAGCAAGACGAGACATGGGATGAGATGGCCTTTCAAGCAAGAGATGCATGGGCTTTTATTACTTGATAGAAACAAAGGCTGAACCCAGGCATTTCAGAGTGGAGGGTGATCTCAAGGGTATCTTTCCAATGTACCTTTCCTTTCAAAAAAGCTCTAACTTCCCACACAGTCGCTTTCTCATCTTTAGATGAAAATGGGTCACTGAAGAGGGAGCCGGCTTGTTTTCTACCGCCTTGGAGATTAGGACTCAATGGAACCATGGGGTTCAAAGGATAGGAAAGGAGATCTCAACTGAACATTAGGAAGGTCTTTCTGACTTTAAGAGCTATTCAACAGTGAAACTTTCTGCCTTGGAGTCTGGTGGAAGCTTCTTCCTTGGAAGCTTGTAAACAGAGGCTGGATGGCCATCTGTCATGGCTGCTTTGATTGTGCTATTTCTACCTGGCAGAAAGGGGTTGGGCTAGATGATCCTTGGGGTACCTTTCAACTCTAGGAAGCTGAGAATCTATAATTAATTATGTGACAGGCTGGGTGGCCATCTGTTGGGAGAGTTCTGATGGTACCCTTCCCAGTAGAACGGGGTTTATTTTTTAATTATTTATTTCCTATATTTCTACCCTGCCCTTCTCACCCCTCAGGGTGGCCTCACAAAAGTATCATAGGATGCCGAACATCATAAAAACAATCAACAATCAGCAATGCATTAAAATATTAAAATATTAAAATATGCATTGTTGGACTGGATGGCCCCTGGGATCTTTTTTCATTTCAGTGACCCGATGATGATGATGATGATGATGATGACGATGATGATGATGATGATGATGATGATGTTTATGTTTACCTTGCTTTTGCTTTTTCTCTCCACCAATGCACCTCTTTGGACTGTCAAATCACAATGCCTCAACCATAACATTATTTTCGTTGCTACTTCAGAACTGTCATTTTTGCTACTGTTATGAATTATAATGTAAATATCTGATATGCAGGGTGAATTTTCATTCACTAGACAAAATTGGGTGCAAATACTGAATACGGCCAAATTTGAATACTGGTGGGATTTAGCGGGAATTGATTTTGTCATTTGGGAGTTGTAGTTGCTGGGATTTATAGTTCACCTATAGTCAAAGAGCATTCTGAACTCCACCAACGATGGAACTGAACCAAATTTGGCACACAAAACTCCCATGACCTACAGAAAATACTGGAAGGATTTGGTGGCCATTGACTTGAATTTTGGCATTGTAGTTCAGCTGCATCCAAAGACTCAAACAATGATGGATCTGGGCCAAACTTGGCACAAATACTCAATATGCTCAAATGTGAACACTGGTGGAGTTTGGGGGAAATAGACTTGACATTTGGAAGTTGTAATTTATAGTTCACCTACAATCAAAGAGCATTCTGAACCCAACCAACGATGCAATTGCACCAAGCTTCCCACAGAATCCGCATGACCAAAAGAAAAAACTATGTTTTCTGATGGTCTTTGGTGACCCCTCTGACACCCCCTCACAATTTCCTCAGGGGTCCCAACCCCTAGGTTGAGAATGTCATGGTAAGTCCTTGCAGGACACAAGTATATGTGGAAAGAAAATCTGTTGCTGTTTTTGATCTGCTAGGTGGGCGGGGGAACTGGGCTGAAGGTCTGGAGCTCGCCCTGAGTCGGCTTTGAACTGTCAACCTTTCAGTTGGCAAGATTTACTGAAGCTTCAGCTGATAATTCACCTGCTGTGCTAAAGCCGGCCCTTCGATAAGGAGGCCCTCTATATATTCATCCAAGTCATGAATAAAGATATTGAACAGAACTGGGCCCAGGACAGGACACTCTTTACGGCATCCGAATAGCAAATTCTTTCCTGGATGAGCGAGAACCATCAGAGAGAAGCACCCTTTGGATTCATTCGCATAACTAATTACAGATCCACCTAATATAGTGTTTCTCAACCTGGGGGTCGGGACACCTGGGGGGGTCATGAGGGGTTTCAGCGGGGTCACCAAAGACCATCAGAAAACCTGTATCACTGCTGGTCTCTCTGCCTGTCCTTCTCTTCCTTTTTGGAAACAGACGGTGAATCTTCCCACCAAAAGCCTTCCTCCGCTGTGATTGGCCGGCTCTCGGCAAAGGAGAGGGCTGTTTCTGAGACTCCCAAGTGCGGGAGTGGAGAGTAGGAGTGCTTGGCACATGGCAGTGTGGTGCACAAATGTGGGCAAGAGAGAGAGCGTGAGGCTGGAGGGAGGCTTGAGCCAGTGAGTCCCTTCAAGGCCGGGGGGTTCTGTGTGGGAAGTTCGGCCCAGTTCTATCATTGGTGAGGTTCAGAATGCTTTGATTGTAGATGAACTATAAATCCCAACAACAAGTCCCAAATGTCAATGTCTATCTTCCCCAAACTCCACCAGTGTTCACATTTGGGCATACTGAGTATCCGTGCCAAGTTTGGTCCAGATCCATTATTGTTTGAGTCCACATTGCTCTCTGGGTGTAGCTGAACTCCTATTGGTCATGAGAGTTCTGTGTGCCAAGTTTGGTTCAATTCCATCATTGGTCGAGTTCAGAATGCTCTTGTTACATCCCGAATAGATTACTGCAACGCACTCTACGTGGGGTTGCCTTTGAAGACTGTTCGGAAACTTCAATTAGTCCAATGGGCAACGGCCAGATTACTCACCGGAGCGTCATACAGGGAACATACCACCCCTCTGTTATGTCAGCTCCACTGGCTGCCGATCCAGTTCTGAGCACAATTCAAAGTGCTGGTTTTGACCTACAAAACCCTATACGGTTCCGGCCCAGCGTACTTGTCCGAACGCATCTCCTTCTACGTCCCGCCTCGGAGCTTAAGATCTTCTGGGCAGGCCCTGCTCTCGGCCCCACCTCTATCACAAGTGAGGTTGGTGGGGACGAGGAGCAGGGCCTTCTCGGTGGTGGCCCCTCGTCTGTGGAACTCGCTTCCCGGGGAAATTAGGTCAGCGACTTCCCTCCTCTCTTTTAGAAGGAAACTAAAAACATGAATACGGGACCAGGCCTTTGGGTAATCTGGCTGACAGACAAAGGACAATGACGACTAGAATTGGATAGGATTACGACAATGCGGAAAGAACTTACGGATTTTGAGCTTGGCGAACGTTGATCACTAGATTGGTTTTTATTAGTTGTACTGTATAACTGGATTGTTTTAAATTGTTTTATAACTGTTGCTGCTATGTATTTTATCTTACTATGTGTATTGCTGGCATCGAATTGTGCCTTTTGTAAGCCGCCCTGAGTCCCCCCTTGGGGGTTGAGTAGGGCGAGGTAGAAATGCTCGAAATAAATAAATAATAAATAAATATCAATCCCAGCAACTACAACGCCCAAATGACAAAATCAACCCTCCCCTCCCAACCCCCCCAACCCCAGTATTAAAATGTGGGCGTATTGGGTATTTGTGCCAAATTTGATCCACTGAATGAAAATGCATCCTGCATATCAAATATTTACATTATGATTCAGAACAGGAGCAAAATGACAGTTCTGAAGTAGCAACAAAAATAATGTTATGGTAGGGGGTCACCACAACATGAGGATCTGTATTAACGGGTCGTGCAATTAGGAAGGTTGAGAAACATTGGCCTAATAGTAGCATTGCCTAGCCCTCTCTTTAACACGTCTCCAACTTCACTTTACATTTCCCGGTCCCAACAGGGACTGTATTATTGACTCCTGTACATGGCCTGTCCCCTTGTTTCTCACTCTGCCGCTTCAGGTGGGCTTCATCGACTACGTCGCCCACCCGTTATGGGAGACCTGGGCCGACCTGGTCCACCCAGACGCCCAGGGGATCCTGGACACGCTGGAGGACAACCGGGAGTGGTACCAAAGCACAATCCCGAACAGCCCGCCGCCACCGCAGACGCCGCGTTTACCCGACGAAGAAGAGAAGTTCAAGTTCACTTTGCAGGAGGAGGAGGACAGCGATGACGAGGCGACTGAGGAGGAGGAGGAGGAGAGCGGGAAGTCCAAAGCCACGGAGGGCTCTGCATCGCCAAACGAGCCTTCGGAGAACCTCGTGGTCAAGCAGGAGGAGGTCCCGGGTGCTGTCGAGCAAAGGATGGCCCTGCCAAAGGAACCCAAGCTGAGTCTTGACCAAGAAGACAATCTCACCTCTGGGACCCTGGGGACGTAGTCAGCAGATCGCACCCCAAAAGTGTTGCTCAGCACAGGGTGACCTTCTTTGTGGACCTCTCCTTCCCTTAAAGCAGAGCTTTCCGAACTGTGTGTCAGGACATGCCAGGGCCTATAAGCCACAGGCATGTCGCATGGGAAGGGAAGCACAGCATGGAGTTGGAAGGGGTCCCCAAAGGGTATCTAGTCCAACCCCATTCTGCCAGGAAGGAAGACATTGTGAAAGCCCTCCCAATAGACAGCCATCCAGCCTCAGTTCAGAAAACTCCAGAGAAGGAAGGAGAATCCACTGGAAGAGAGCCCCAAACTGTATCTAGTCCAACCCACTTCAATCAGACAGAAATATGCACAACCAAAGCCATCCCAATAGACAGCCATGCAGCCTCAGTTCAGAAACCCCCAGAGAAGGAAGGGGAATCCACTGTAAGAGAACTCCAAAGGGTATCTAGTCCAATCCACTTCAATCAGGCAGGAATATGCACAACCAAAGCCATCCCAACAGACGGCCATGCAGCCTCAGTTCAGAAACTTCTAGAGAAAGAAACTCCACTCGACTCTAGTGAAGGATAGGTATTCTATCCTTCACTAGAGTTGGAAGGGGCTCCCAAAGGGCATCTAGTCCAACCCCTTTCTGACAGGCAAAAAGCTCTCCCAACAAATGGCCATCCAGCCTCAGTGCAGAAACCTCCAGAGAAGGAAGGAGAATCCACTGTAAGAGAACCCCAAAGGGTATCTAGTCCAACCCACTTCAATCACGCAGGAATATGAACAACCAAAGCCATCCTAACAGACGACCATGCAGCCTCAGTTCAGAAACCCCCAGAACAGGAAGGAGAATCCACTGTAAGAGAACCCCAAAGGATATCTAGTCCAATCCACTTCAATCAGGCAGGAATATGCACAACCAAAGCCATCCCAACAGACGACCATGCAGCCTCAGTTCAGAAACCCCCAGAGAAGGAAGGAGAATCCTCTGTAAGAGAACCCCAAAGGATATCTAGTCCAACCCCTTCAGACTGGCAGGAAGACACAGTTAAAGCCCTTATGACAGATGGCCATCCAGCCTCAGTTCAGAAACTTCTAGAGAAAGAAACTCCACTCGACTCTAGTGAAGGATAGGTATTCTATCCTTCACTAGAGTTGGAAGGGGCTCCCAAAGGGCATCTAGTCCAACCCTTTTCTGCCAGGCAAAAAGCTCTCCCAACAGATGGCCATCCAGCCTCAGTGCAGAAACCTCCAGAGAAGGAAGGAGAATCCACTGGAAGAGAGACCCAAAGGGCATCTAGTCCACCCCCCCTCAAAAATGAAGGAATGTATACAACCAAAGCCCTCCCAACTGACAGCTGTCCAGCCCCAGATGAATAGAGTACTTTAAATCACTACAGAAGTGGGGTGCTAGGGCTTGTTCAAGTGATCATAGGGACTGTTCTAACTTCTAAAAAAATAATTTGCATAGTTTGTTGCTTGAACTGCAGTCATTTCCACTGAAATAGAGTAGTTTCTAATTCCAAAAAATCTATTGACAACTAAATTTGTGACTAACTGCACACAGTGACCTTAAGAAGAAACCACAACAATCAACAGTAGCACATAAGAAGCATTAACCTTGTTTATAGAATAATGATTATATGAAACTTATATGTTTGTGTTTATGGTTCAACTGCCGATTTGCTAGTAAAATTCAATAGCCGCATTAGAAAAGGATGCTTTTCTAAAAAGTGTGTCACCAAAGTGAAAAGTTTGGAAAACTCTGCCTTAAAGAAATGGATGGGATTTCAGCCTGGAAGGGTGAAAAAGAGCAGGGCAAGAACCTTGGTGACTTTATTTCCCCAGTTTTCTTGTGGGATTTCCTCTGTATCTTTTAGTGAAAAAGAACCTTTCTCTGTGAAAATATCTAACTTTTGCAAAGTTTCTCCTAGCCATGTTTCCATCAACTTTACTTGTTCTTTGCACTAATTTCTAAACACCCAAATGATGTCTCAGCTTATTTATTTCTGCTATTAACTTTTTAGATAAATATTTATATCCTCAAATGTGAGTCTGCGCGTCTTATTTCTCGCAAAAAAGTACTAAGCCTCACAAACAGGCAGATAGATACTCTATTTCACTGCATAAAAGTTGACACCGCTTCAATAGTCACACTCCCCAGTTTTGGGGTATCACAAATGGTATTTTTCTTTTCCTCACATAATAGTCAAACCCGCATTTGAGGGGACTCCAAGAGGGGACATGGTTATTCTGTGGTTGACATCACCCTGTGAGTTTTTCAAGGGTCCCTGAAGATTTCGTTATTACTGTATGTCCAGTTAAAGAAAAACACAGGCAGTCCCCGAGTTGCAAACATCTGACATACAAATGAGTCACAGTTACACATGTGCAGTTTCAGCATCCTGTGATAATTAGAAGTGGGTTTGGGAAAATCTTTAATGAATGCCCTCAGAACTGCGATTACAAGTTTCTAATAAGTTAAAATGCTAGCTCATGCTACTGGTCATCACCTGGTGAATTTAAATCAGTGCTGCACAAAACTTGCCTATTTTATATGTTGTAATGAAATCTATAGGAACTTTAGGGGGGTCTATCCCAGGAGGAGAGACCCTGAGACCCCACCAAAGAGGGATCGCTACTTTGACGAGCAAAGAAAAGCCTGATTTTCAGCAATTTTATTTCCCTAAATATCCAGAAGAAATCTCACCAAAGTTGAAGAAGATGTTTTTTATTAGCGATTCAGCTGAAAAGGATGCAATGCCGCAATCATTCGCCAAGCAGAGCATGTGGTTACAGAAAACAAAGGCATTTTTATAGGAAATACAGGCTTGTGAGTTTCAAAATTCCCGCTCCCCACCCTCCTCCCGGCTCGATGGTGATTGGCTGGCGTGATAACAGCTGGGAGGAGGCTCGGCCGCCCTCCCCGCACCAGAGCCAATCACAGAGGTCCTGCGGCGTGCTGGAACCTATCAGAAAGCTCCTGCCGCCTCGACGCTCTGGCGAATCAGAAGGAAGGGAGGTGGGACAAAAAGAAACAATGCTTTCTTGAGTGGATTATGGGTTTCCAATGTCCTGGGGCTTCTTGAGTCCGGAATCGGCCTTCTAAAGAAACTAACTTTATTGTCTTTAGATGGGTCTGCGATAAGTAATGATAACTTAATCCGAGTTTTCCTGTCGCAATCAGATATGACACAAAGAGGAGGCTGGGGTGGATGTCCGTTGTGGAGAGGTTTGAAAGAAAAAACGGGGTTGAGGGAAAGAGGCTTTTCGAGGGTCGCCTCACCCCCATTGTTACGTGATTAGAAGTTTGCCAAGCGAAAATCCAATCTGATGGCCCAAAGGATTCTCTGTTCTATTTTCCATGCAAACATGTTTCAAGATAAGAGTTCTTTTGTGATTGCTGTTTGCCTTTTCAGAGCCAGGGCAGCTTCCTTGTTGACTTCCCCCAAAGAGAGGGGAAGGGGGCAAAAGGTTCAGGACAAGGTCAGAAATACATGGGGAAATATATGAGGAAATATAGGAATCACAAGAAAATCATATCTCCCTCCCTTTCCCACCCACCAGAGGAATTGATTAAAGTTATAGTTTCAGCAAAACATGAGTCCATAGTTCATTCAGGGGGAATTCATAGGTGGAAACAAGTCCTTTGGAGTCCAAAACACTTGGCAAAAAGTCCAAAGTCACAAAAAGGAGTTCAGTGATTTCCACTGAGCCAAAAGATGAAGTCCTGCAGTGCTGAGATCGAAGCTAGTCCTTGGTCCTTGGGAAACTATAACTCCCTCCAAGGACCGAAGCCCCAAGGCCAGACTGTTTCCCGAAAGCCTCGTGGGGTAGCCGCACCAAGTCTCCAGGGCAGGGTCTTCACAAGGACGAAGAAGCGGTGAGGGCAGCGGCAGCGCGGCTTGGATTTTGACAATCAGTTGTTTCCTTAAAATTATAGTCTTAAAAATTCAAAAGGTTATTCGGCAAGCACAGAGGCCCAAAATACAAAAAGTGAGATAGAGGATAGTGTAAGAATTTAGCCAGGAAAAATATGCCATCAAAATGGAGCCGGTCCACCATTTCACGGATACGGGGGCCCAAGGGGTTTCCGTATCCGCGGTTTTGGGGAGCGCCTGCAGTCTCCCATAGCCCAGAAAAGGTTAGTTTCATGCATTTGGATAGTTTCAGACAAGAAAGGGACACAAAGTATCAAGCTGGAGAGTTTAGGTGTAAAATTGTCCTGAGTGTCCTGGATGTTTGTAAAGCGGTAGTGATACGAGACCATGAAGAATGTCTCTGTAAAACAGGCACTGGAGGAGCACATGTTTTGCTGGTTCTATATGTCCAGAGTCACAGGGTCACAGTCTCTACGGGTGGGTCTTTCGATATCGACCCTCGTGTATGGCAGAAGGGAGGGCATGATATCATGCCAGGGTGATGGTTGGGCACAAGGATTAGTCTTGTGCATTTGTATAGAATTGCTATCTGTTTCAGTTTGTTTCATTCGTATGGCCCCGTTTTCGGGTGCTGCTTTCAAAAACGGGGGCCTTTCCGAATAATCTGTTTTGTTCTTTTGTCTGAATGAACAAAAATTTTCAGACCATTGGCCAACATGGGCGGCCTTCCCATCCGAGTTTTAGGACTAGAGGGGCGAAAATCACCACACATGGTCACTTGATTTTTAGGGCTTTTTTTCCCTTTCTATAAATAAAATCTCCTTAAAAAACATTCCTTCTTTTCCCTCTCGATCTGCAGAGGACTCGGTGCAGCTTACATGAGGCCGAGCCCAAAATACAACAATACAAGCAATAAGAACAACAATACAAGCAATTTAAAACAACAAAACAATAAAACAATAACATAAGCATTATCAAATAGGACAACACACTTTAAAACACACTTTAAAATCTAGGGGTAGGCCAAATGTATTTAAAATTAAAAATAATGCTGGACATGGGCAAAAAAAGTGATGGGGCGGTTTGTAGAAACATACAAGCAGACCTAAAACAATATAAAGTGCTTTGGAGGACAAAGTGCTATGGGATCATTATTCTGGGAAGGCACACTGGAACAACCACATCTTCAAGCTCCTCTTAAAGATTGCCAAAGTTGGGGCATGCCTGATGTCCTTAGGGAGTGAGTTCCACAGTCGAGGGGCCACCACCGAAAAGGCCCTCTCTCTCATCCCCAGCAATCGCGCTTGCGATGCAGGTGGGAGCGTGAGCAGAGCCTCTATAAACAGTACATGTTTATAGACATACAGAACTGTCAAATTCAAACTTCCTGCTCCTGCCCCCTTCAGCCAGCTTGAAGCTGATTGGCTGATGTAATCAGCGGGAGGGGAGGCGCGGCTGACTGAGCCACGCCTCAGCCAATCACCAAGCCAGTGCCGCTTCGGCTTCTCCAATGAGGAGCGAGGAGGCAGTACAAGTGGGAAACAATGAACCGGGAGGAAAAATGAGTAGATTATTGTAACTTAATGTTTGTCCAATCGCTGGCAATAATCCAAAGATTCCTCAAGATAGCCTGGTATTGTCCCATGGGGGTGAAATATACAAAAGTGGCTGGCGCAGATGCCAAGCCCCGGTAATCTCTAGCCTTAGGTATGGGATCAGCTGATGCTATCTGGTCTTTGGTTTCGGCCAAGGATATGAAAACAATAGGTGAGACAGTTGGGGCACCCAGATCCTCCTGAAGGCAGGATGTCCCCTTTGTTGAAGAGTGTAGCTTCCTTCAGGTGGCCATGCTCCAAGGCCTGAGGAGGCATCATTGTTTCTGTCCATGCAATAAGTCTTTGTTGAGTCCTTTTTAATTAAGGGGAAATTCCATCTCAGGAAATGAAAAAGGTTTTCCTAAGATTTTGGTATGCTGGGGTCACTAAAAAGTAGCATTTCATATTTTTTATACATAGACACTTATATGGGGTTCATAAGGCATACATTCATAAAGAGGGAAAAGAAAATCATATCAACCCATCCCACCCACCAAGGGTTCATTTAAAGTCTAAAATCATAATAGAAATCCATGAGGTTTGGGGAAGGAAAAAGTTTCTAAAAAGTTTTGAAAAGTTCTAAAAGTTGATCAAAGTTCAAGAAAAGTTGCAGAATTAGTGAGGGCAAACTGGAGAAGGTTCCCCGGTGTCTACTGGATCCTTTGGAAGTGATTGCCAGCGCTGGAGGTCGAGATCCACATCGGGAAATGAAGAAAACTATAGATCTCATCTCGTCAAGGACCAGGATGGTCCATCAGTTTCCAGCAGGTTCCCCAGGTCAACGGGCTCTTCAGGCATCAACGAGGTTGTGGCAGCGGGGAGCCAGCAGGGCTCCATGTTGAGTTTTTCGGGCAAAAAAGGTTATTCCTGGGGCGGAGGGGTTAGCGGAGCAAAAGCGAGATAGCCATTAGTCTTAGAATTAGCCCAGGAGAAGAATGGCACCGATTTTGGAGTGATCCGTTGACCCTGCGGATAAGGGGACCCGATGGGTTTCCGTATCCACGGTTCAGAGGAACGCAGTGTCGGCCTCCCCAGGACACGAAAATTGCATCCCAGGTGGGCCAGCATCCATCTGCAGCCCGGGAGAGAGAAGGTTTATGAAGATAATAGTTTGGAGCCAGTAAAGGACACAAAGTAACACTATGGAAAGGAAAACGTTACAGTTAATTGATGCTGGCCCAGGCAGGCAACGGGGAACTGCGGAACTCCCTGCTGCAGGTCAGATCAGCTTGAAGGCAGGGAGTTCTGGGTTGTTCCTCCTCAGAGTGAGGAAGGTGGAAGAGTGAAGGAGAAGGTGGAAGAGCGGACTCTTCCAGGAAAGGGGGGGGCAGACTCCCCCTCAGCATGTGCCCCCATCCCAGGTTAAAAAGTCAAGGGATTTGGCATCCTGCACCCTGGGAAACTTGCTTGCATGATCTTAAAATTTTCAATTGCATGAGCTCGTGTGGGATGAAATTGGAGAAGGAGCCTAGCTGGGCTCCGTACAGAGTTGAGCTCCTGATTTGGCTTCAAATAGCTTGAGTGTTGCAGGGACAAAGTGGCCCCCTTTTGTCTTCAGGTCTTTT